TAGTCTCCACGCTGCCCCTGCGCCCCCACCACCGGCCCCAGCGGCTCAGCCGACCCTGCTTCCTCCAGGGGCTCCTCGGTGTCACCTGCTTGTCTCCTCCCTTCACCAGCAGCTCTCCTCGCCCTCCTCTGCTGGGCCTTCCTCTTCCCAGCCGCTGGACTGGCGGCCTGGGGGCCCCGGCCTTTCCTCTAGCGCCCCTCATTCTCTCCCACGGCTGCTGCATTTGTGGCTCCAACCCCGACATCTCCCAACGCCCCCCCCACCACCACCACCACCACCTTGTAAACACAGTGGCCGCCGTGAGTGGATGCCTCACAGGCAGCTCCACTGAACAGGTGCCGGAGGGGACTCTGGACCCCGCCCTCCCCAGTCCGGCCCTTCTCAGAAAACCGACACCACCAGCCAGCTGCTCACGCCCGACCCCCCCCCCCGCTGCCGCCCCGTCTCTCTGCCCCTTGCCCACACACCCAGGCCGTCAGCTGCAGGCCCGTCACTCATTCTCAAAATGGGCCGGGTGCGGGGAGGTCAGAGCTGAGGTGTGCGCTCTGGTGCTGCGTCCGCTGCGGTGCTCTCGGCTGTGGCCCCGGGTGGGGGCGCGTGGCCGGGCGGGTGCTGGTGGGACCCCCGCTGCATGCCGCCATGACCAGCTCTGTTCTCTCCTCTCCTCTGGCCTCCCGCCCGCCCCTGCATGGCAGAAGTCCTCCAGCTCCGCGTCCTCTGAGGCCTCGGAGACCTGCCAGTCCGTGAGCGAGTGCGGCTCCCCCACCTCGGTCAGTGCCCCCCACCTGCTCCCGGGCAAGGAGGGCCCTGGTCCACCCAGCGGTGGTGCACGCAGCCCCTCCCCGCACACTCACGTCTTCCCTCCTGGGATCTGTTCGCCTGCGCCTGGCGGGAGCGAGGGCTCACAGCGCCCGCCACACTTTGTCTGTGATTGGGAGCTTGAGGCCCCCGTTGGGCCGGAAACCCCGACCCTCCACTACAGTGAGGGTCCCCCTGACCCACCTGCCATGCCCTGCAGGACTGGGCCAAGGCCGGCCCCCACGAGCAGCCCTCCACCCTGCAGCGGAGGAAGGACCGCGTGGAGCTCCTGAGAGACACGGAGCCAGGCCCGGCCGGCGGGGGTAGCCTGGGCCCCAGCGGAGAGGAAGCACCCCGACCCCGCATGTCCCCGGCCACCATTGCAGCCAAGGTAGGCGGCAGCTCCCTGGGCATCCCAGCTGGGCCCCACCTTCACTCCCAGGCCAGTGCCAGGCGGCCGGCTGGGTCTTGGTGCCGGCTCTGCCCCTGGTGGGCGCTCCCTGGAGTCCAGGCTGAGGGGGGCCGCTGGGGAGCGAGGCTCAGCCTGCAGTCTTACCTCCCAGCACGGTGAGGAGGTGTCCCCGGCGGCCAGCGACCTGGCCATGGTGCTGACACGCGGCCTGAGCCTGGAGCACCAGAAGAGCAGCCGGGACTCGCTGCAGTACTCCAGCGGCTACAGCACGCAGACCACCACGCCCTCCTGCTCCGAGGACACCATCCCCTCCCAAGGTAGGCCCCGGGGCTGGGGCGGGCGCCCGGGCCGGCGGCCCCCTGGCCCTGGCCCACTGCCTCCCGTGCCCCCAGGCTCCGACTACGACTGCTACTCCGTGAACGGGGACGCCGACGGCGAGGGCCCGCCCGAGTTCGACAAGTCGTCCACCATCCCTCGCAACAGCAACATCGCCCAGAACTACCGCCGCCTGCTCCAGACCAAGCGCCCGGCCTCCACGGCCGGCCTGCCCACCGCCGGGCTGCCCGCCGCCTCGGGCGCACCCCCCGGCGTGGCCACCATCCGCCGCACGCCCTCCACGAAGCCCGCCGTGCGCCGCGCCCTGTCCAGCGCCGGCCCCATCCCCATCAGGCCGCCCATCGTCCCCGTGAAGACGCCCACGGTGCCCGACTCCCCCGGCTACGCGGGGCCCACGCGGGCGGGCAGCGAGGAGTGCGTCTTCTACGGCGACGAGGCCGCCTCGCCCCTGGCGCCGGACCTGGTGAAGGCCTCCCCCAAGAGGCTGAGCCTGCCCAACACGGCCTGGGCCAGCCCGACCCCCGAGCCCGCCGGCTACCCCGGGCCGGGGGCCGAGGACGAGGAGCAGCAGCAGCTGGCCGCCAACCGGCACAGCCTGGTGGAGAAGCTGGGCGAGCTGGTGGCAGGCGCCCACGCCCTGGGCGAGGGCCAGTTCCCCTTCCCCACTGCCCTGTCGGCCACCCCCACGGAGGAGACGCCCGCCCCGCCCCCGGCCGCCACCGGCGACGCGCCCGCCGAGGACATGCTGGTGGCCATCCGGCGGGGGGTGCGGCTCCGCAGGACGGTCACCAACGACAGGTCGGCGCCCCGCATCTTGTGATGGCGCCCCCTCCGCCTTCTGGCCCAGCACGAGGCCGCCGCCCAGCCAGGAGAGGGCAGAGCCAGGCCGGCGTTTTTTCCTCTCCAGTCACAAGGCAAAGCCACTTCGTGGAAAGAGACACCCAGCTAGGACTCGGCATTTACACAGACAGCGACTTCTCAGCAGACCTCGCTGCCCTGGAGCTGCAGGCCTGGACCTGGATGTGGAGCCTGTTTTATACTCTCCTTGCCTCCCCTGTCCCTCCACCTCCTCCCCCAGGCCCTGCCTCCCCATCTCTGTGAGCCCCGTGCGCGGCTCCCCCGCCCGTGGCCTGGGCTGGGCTGGGCTGGCAGTGCCACAGCCGAGCTGACCTGGCCAGCAGTGCCTCTGGCCTTTCAGAACTGAGCCCTGCCCCTCCCCTCCCCTGCCTCTCCATCAGGGAGGCTGTAGGGGCAGGTGCCCACGTAGCTAAGGTAGCAGATGTGACTGAAAAGGTGAGCTGAGTGGCTGGTGGTCTCGGGGGCAAGTGAAGTTGGGGGGCCAGCCCGCCATGGGGGGGAGGGGCTAGGGCCCAAGTCTCCAGGAGGGAATGCAGGGAGCCCACCTGGAGGGGCTGGGGTCAGGGAAGGGGTCTGAGGCTCTGGGCGATGGGGCACGTCAGGACTAATGCGGGTGGCCCTGTGCTCACAGCTGCGGGCACCTTTGGGGGTGACTTCGTGAGTATAATAAAGGAGCTGACTGGACAAGGACTGTGTGTGGGGACAGGGTGGACGATACAGGGTGTGTCCAAGAGTGCCTGAGGGACGGGCCACAGTGGCCTGGGGGCCGTGGCAGGAGGAGGACCGATCGGCTCCCCCAAAGCCAAGGGAGAGCTGTTCTCTCCAGCCTGGAGCCCAGTCAGGGGCGTCCGCTGGTCGGGGGTGGGGTCCTCTGGCCGGGCCGGGCTGGGGGACGTCTGGGAAGATTGGCTTTGACTCTCTGTTGCCAGAGGAGACGCCAGCCCAGGACGCATCCCTCACCCTCCATGCACCAAGCTGTGCCAACTCCAAGGCAAACGCAGGTGCCTCCAGCAGGAGGGCTCCCTGAGGCCCGCAGAGCTGGGCGCGGTGCAGGGCCACACAGGGCCTCCTGGGTAGGTCAGCGTTACCTGGTCTGGAGGGACAGGGCTGGTCGGAGTCTCCCAGCCGGAGGTCTTGGCGGTTCCTGTGCTGGGATCCAGGTGGGGCAGGGAACCAAGGGCACCTCCAAGTGGGTGGAGCCCCGGCTCCGGGGACGATGGAGAAGGAACCTGTAAGTCGCTAGGTCAGCACAAGCTTGCTGAGTGCCCGGGCCAACCCCGGGGGCCCGAGGACCGGAGGGCAGGTGGCCAGTCTGGGCGGCCCTGGGGCGGGCAACACCGCCCCCTCAGCTGTGTCAGGCTCGGCCTGGGAGTGGGATACAGGATGTGTGAGGGGAGCAGGGTGCGGAGCAGTGGGCGTGGCTGGGTCCTTGTGCCCCTAGAGCAGCGGTTCTCAACCTGTGGGTCGCGACCCCTTTGGCGGTCGAACGACCCTTTCACAGGGGTCGCCTAAGACCACCCTGCATATCAGATATTTACGATTCCTAACAGTAGCAGCATGACAGTTATGGCTGGGGGCCACCACACCATGAGGAGCCGTGTTAAAGGGCCGCGGCCTGAGGAAGGTGGGACCCACTGCCCCAGAGGAAGAACCTGCCTCCTGGGGGGAGGGGTGGCTTTGGAGGTTCGGGGAGCGTGAGCCCCGCCTTGCCCGCCCCCCTCCCTCCCGGCCAGCCCGGGGCTGTACATAACTCACCCCCCCACTGACCGCCTGTCCACTCAGTGACGCCCCGGGGCCGAGCCAGCCGCCGCCGCACAGACTCGGCTGGGGGACTTCACGTTCGTTTTATTTCTCATTTTGTACAGAGACATTCTTTTCCAAGTCTTTTGACTGAAGTAACTTTTCTGGTGCTGTTGTTAACTTGTTCCTTCTTTTAATTTATTTCCCACCCAGGCCTCCCTCCCGCCTCCCTCCCGGCCTTCCTCCCCTCGCCTCATCCCATCTGAACCGCCTCCTTTCTTTCCTGTCGGTTTTGGTTTCGAATAAATTATCCTCTCCACTCCTCGCCCTCCAGCCACCCTGCCCCCGATTTAATAGTCACGGCTACAAGTAACAATGCACTGTGAAGACCCCAGTATTAATAAAGTTGTACTGTAATTCACACCGGCCTGCCTGGCTTCCTGCCTTCCCACCCGCTCACCTGCCCGCGGCACCCCGGCACCCGCCCCTTCCTACCTGGACCCCAGCCTGCGGGCGGGGCTCCCCGGCCCAGGGCTCCCGGGCAGCAGGGGCAGGAGTGGCCGGGCTGTGCCTGTGCCGGGACCTACACCTTTGCAGGCTCCAGCTCCACCCCTGCACCCCTGCCGAGGGCAGCCAGAGGGAGGGAGGCCTAGGGGCACTGCAGGGCCAGCCCCCTGCGGCGGGGCTGGAAGGAGTTCAGTCCCTCAAATGCCCGCCTTTCTAGCCCCCTGGCCAGGCTCTGGGAGACAGAACCCCAGGTCGGCCCTCCAGCCCTTCCCAGCCACACGCGGCACTGGGTGAGCAGGAGGGGAGGGGCTCCCAAGTCCACCCTCCCGGACGCAAAGCAAAACAAAAACAAAATAAAGTGGGTGTTTAATAGAAAAAAATAAACGGGCAGAGAACCCACTGTGGCAAGATACGGCATTTGGCTCTGCCCTCTCCCCAGCCTGGCCAAGTCCTGTGTCCGCCACACCCACCTGCCCACCGGGCACAGCTCCTGGGCGGTGCCAGGAGGGGCCGTGAGCTGCGAGTCTCGTCGGCCTCCAGGTGCCCCCAGGCCCCCACCACTCCCCGAGAGACCTTGTGAGGCACCGAGGATGGGGGGCCGAGCCTTCCCCCCACAGGACACCCCCCCAAAGGTAAAACACCCTCCCTGGGGCTCTCCCAAGGGGGGCGCCCCCCACCACCCAGCGACCTCTCAGGCCCAGTCCGACTGGGAGCGCCTCCACCTCCCGCTAGGCGGCCACACACTGCGGCAGGGGCTCCGGGCCGTGGGGCTGAGGGCTGGGCACCTGACAGCCCTGCCAGTTTTGGACGGATGTTTCTTTACCTGCAGGGGAGGGAAAACCGAAACAAAAACCGTACGAGTGGTCGACACCTTGTCCCCAGTCCGAGCCATACTGTTCCTGTTCCCACACCCAGAGCCCATCTCAGCTCCCAGAGGGCACGCCCAGGAGGGTGCCAGCTCTGCCCCCCTCCCCCCTCCCCCGCCCGGCCCGGCCCCACCCACCCACCCAGGGCTCCTTACAGCAGGAGCAGTACAGCAGCTCCATGACCCGAAAGCAGTTGTCCAGCAGGGCTTTGGGCCGCACCAGCTTCAGGCTCAGCCGCGGGTCACTCAGGAGGGACAGCACAGCATCCACCGGGGGGCTGAGCTTCACGTCCTGGGAGGGAGGACACGGTGAGGCACGGCCGGGGAGGAGCCGGCCACAGGCCAGGACGGCTGTGGGGGCCGTCGCATCTGGAGCCGAACACTGAAGTCAGACGAGCCTTCCCGTGACCAGGAGGCCTGTGAGCAATTCCTCTCCTTCCTCCCGGTGCCACATTTCCTGGGGAGGGGGGCACCCCTCAATGTCCCTCACCCAAGCACAACACAGAGGCTTCTCTCTTCCCATCTCTGGAAAAATGACTACCCTGCCCAGAGGCACCAAAGAGCCACTGAAGAAGCCCCTAGGGCCCTAGCCAGTTTGGCTCAGTGGATAGAGCATCAGCCTGTGGACTGAAGGGTCCCGGGTTCGATTCTGGTCAAGGGCAGGTACCTCGGTTGCAGGCTCCCAGCGCTGGTTGGGGGCAGCAAGAAGCAACCAATCAATGTGTCTCTCTCACATCAGTGCTTCTCTCTGTCTCTCCCTCTCCCCTCCACTCTCTCTGTAAACCAATGAGAAAAATATCCTCGGGTGAGGATTTTAAAAAAAAAAAAAAAGGTCACTGGGGCTCCCAGCCTTGGTCAGAACCTGGAGAGCTCCCCACAGTCAAGCCGCAAAAGCACCTTCAGGCCCCTAAGCCGGGGATCGTCAGAAGCTCACAGTGGCTGTTGGGTGTTCTGGCTGCGGAGCAGGTGGGGGTCCCTGGGGCAGGGGGTACCAGGGGAGCAAGGCAACATGGGGGAGTGTGGAGGGGTCCCACGTGCCTGCACGGGCACACACTCATCCAGTCACCTTACCCTCCAGGCTCTTGTGGGGACATACATACTCAGGGGCCTCATGCCGAGCAGGCAGTTACTAGGAACCGCTCTATTATGGTTGTTGTTCACTGAGGCCCATCGTTTACATTACGGTTCACGCTCTGTGTTGTACGTTCTATGAGCTTTAACAAATAAATGCATGATGTCACACGCTCACTTTACAGTATCGTACAGAAGCGTTTCATCGCCCTGAACACGTCCTGTGCTCCGCCTCCCTCCTCCTCTCCCCCCAAAGGAACCTCGTTTCTTAGTTGCAGAAACAAAGCCACAGGGTTCAATGACTTACCCAAGACTGCAGAGCTCGACAGAGCCCGGAGCAGGGTCTGAGGCACACCTCCTGCCCCCCAGCCCAGTCCAGCCCAGCCCACCCGCTGGTCATCACTGGCTGCCTCCTCTTCTTTCCCATTTCTCCCACACCCATCAGGACATGCTGGAACTTTCCAGGTGTTCACATCCTCCCTCAACAGCCCTTGGCCACCATACACACACACACACACACACACACACACACACACACACACATGCACATGCATGCAGGCAGGCACACAAGCATGGACACACTCACACATGGATTCACACTCAGGCATACACACACATGCACACACAAGCACACACTTGCACATGCATGCCGAGCATGCAGGCACACACACGTAGGCTGGCACACACAACATGCATGCAGGGCAGGCAGACACACATGCAGGCAGGCACACCCACATGCACACATGCAGACACACACATGCAGGCAGGCACACAAGCAGGCAGGCGCGCGCACACATGCACACACAAGCACACACACTTGCACATACACACCCAGCATGCAGGCACACACGCATATGCAGGCAGGCAGGCTCACACACATGCATGCAGGCAGGCACACACACATGCATACATGTAGGCACGCACACACATGCAGGCAGGTAGGCACATGCACACATGCATGCAGGCACATGCACACACATGCATACATGCAGACACACGCATATGCAGGCAGGCAGGCACACACACATATGCAAGCAGGCAGGCTCACACATGCAGACATGCAGGTTCACGCACACACATGCATGCAGGCAGGCACACGTACACTGCCCGCCCACCTCCTGGCCCAGCTCACCCCGAGGGCCTGCTGGACTTCCACCAGCAGAGAGTGGATGTCCTTCAGGTACTTCCAGGACGGGTGGCCTTCGAGCAGCACCCCCTGCACGGCCTCGGTGGCGCTGAGACTCACCGAGACCCACAGGTGGCGCAGCTCCTGCTGGCTCACGCGGGCCCTCTGCTGTGGGGACGGGAGAAATCACTGAGACCCCAGACACGGGCCTCTGCGCCCCTCCCACCCCGCTGACACTGCCTCCCACTGTGGACTGCAGACAACCCTGGGCCTGGGCCTGGGCCTGGGCCACGGGCGAGCCTGCTTGAGGGGCCAAGGAAGGCCCCGGGCAACAGGAGCTGCCACACCCCGATGGCTCCAGGAGAGGCCGGACGCCCCAGGAGACAGGGGCCTCCCAGCCCGGGAGGGGTCCTCACCAGCCTGGTGACGTTGGCCGCTCTGAGCACCCCCTCGTAAGGCATGCTGACCCTGTAGCCGATGGGGAAGTACTGTTTCTGGGGAGGTGAACAAAAACCATGCGATCAGTCAGGGATGCTCGGACAGGTGCTCCCGAACTGCCCCCACCCCCACCCTCACCTCAACACTTGGCTGTAGGGGGAGGGCCCCAGGAGCCGCTGTGATGGCAGAGGTGCCTCTGGGAGAACGCACTTGGCTCCCGTCAGGGTGGGACAAGGGAGGGATGAATGAGACAAAACACCCAGTTGCTGTTAGGGCAGGAGTTTCAGCCACGAAACAGTAGGAGGGACACCCCACCCCGAGAGAAGCAGATTCCTCGGGGGAGGGGAAGACCAACGGGCACTCAGAAACCTGTGATGGCTGCCCAGCTGGGCGTGTACTGAACCAGTGATGGCGAACCTATGACACGCGTGTCAGAGGTGACACGCGAACTCATCTTTTTGGTTGATTTTTCTTGGTTAAATGGCATTTCAATATATAAAACAAATATCAAAAATATAAGTCTTTGTTTTACTATGGTTGCAAATATCAAAAAATTTCTATATGTGACACGGCACCAGGGTTAAGTTAGGGTTTTTCAAGATGCTGACACGCCGAGCTCACAAGGTTCGCCATCACGGCACTAAACCCACGAGTGTGCGCGCAAAGGAGTGACCTGCGTGGTGTGTGAACCAGATCTCAGTGAAACTGTTTTAAAAAGGAACACGCCACAGGGCTTCGCCACCCTGTGAAAAGAGCCTTCCTCCGACGTCTAGGTCCCCATCTCCCCGCTAAGAATAGGAGGTGCCTGAGGTCCCCCGAGGCTTCCTGGAGGCCATTCCTGAATCACAGGGTGAGTGCCACATGGAGATGGGACCAAAGTCAGACCTAGTGGGAGCGGGGAGGCCCCCAGGGACGGCCGGCAGGAGGGAGGGGGACAGTACGTGCAGGCCAGGGGACCAGGGGGGAGGTGGGGCAGGGGGTGGAGAAAGGCAGAGAAAGGAGCCCGCAGGCTCAGGGCTGACACCGGTCCAAGGAGGGACCCTGAAGGTCCAGGCCCCCCCGTCCCATCAGCCAAGGGGCTTGGGTTGGGGGCCCCGGCGGGGGCCACAGGGTTACCATGTACTGAAGGCGGTTCCTGTACTGCAGCTTGCCCCGCAGGATGCCAGTGAGGGCGCACTCCTTGCTCTGCGTCAGGGGCCACACCTCCAGGTCCTGGTTCCCCAAGGCCATGCCGAGGAGGATGCCGAGATCTGTGGACCGTGCCCAACGGGAACACATGAGCAGCCTGCCCGCTGCCACACTGCCCAGCCCTCCCTCTTCCCGGTCACCAGTCCCCGTGGGCGAGGCGGGAGGGGTGGGGGCGAGGCAGGCGGGCAGGAGCCATCCAGCCTGTCTGCTCCTGGCCCGAAGCCAGCCCCTGAGGCTAGTCTCCTCTCCTCCCCACAAGGCAGGCACCCCCTCCCTGCCCGGCCACCTCAGCACCGCCTGCAATGGGGACATGTTTCCAAAGCCTGTTGCTGCCTTTTCCACCTGGGGGTTCAGGAGACGTCGGTTCCAGTTCCAACCCTAGACATGACTCTTGGTGACGGCGACCATTTTCCTCCTGCCTACCTGACCTTGGCGTCCATCTCGTGGGACTGTAGGGGCCCACCTGGTTTGCTCATGCTGGATGCTAAGCGAACCTCACTCAGGTGGTTCCTCACACTCCCTGCCAACCAATGAGCTGCTGCCTTCTGGATGTTACCAGCCTTTACCACTGGGGGTCGCTGTGACTTCAAAAATAGCCTGTGTGATTTCCTGTAACTGAGCCGACTTACCAAAAATCTCTAGGAGGATTTGCAAAAAAATATATAAATGGATAAGAGACATGTCCAAAAAAATCAACCCCACTAATAAAGACAAGGAAACTCAGGCCCTCGCTGGTGTGGCTCAGTGGATAGAGCGGCGGCCTGCGGACGGGAGGGTCCCAGGTTCGATTCCAGTCAAGGGCACATGCCAGGGTTGTGGGCTCGATCCCCAATGGGGGGTGTGCAGGAGGCAGCCGATCAGTGATTCTCTTTCATCATTGATGTTTCGATCTCTCTCTCTCCCTTCCTTTCTGAAATCAATAAAAATATTTTTTTTTAAAAAAAAAAAAGGTTGCCGAAACCGGTTTGGCTCGGTGGATAGAGCGTCGGCTTGCGGACTGAAAGGTCCCAGGTTCCATTCCGGTCAAGGGCATGTACCTGGGTTGCGGGCACATCCCCGGTAGGAGATGTGCAGGAGGCAGCTGATCGATGTTCCTCTCTCATCGATGTTTCTAACTCTCTATCTCTCTCCCTTCCTCTCTGTAAAAAATCAATAAAATATATTTTAAAAAAATAAAAAAATAAAAAAGGTAAGGACATCCACATTAAAATAATCACACTTCACCTATCAAAATGGAAAATGGTTTTGTTTGTTTAGTTTTATTTTAATAGCAGTTGGTGCTGGCAAAAGTAGGAAGGCGGATACTCATTCTGGAGAGGAGCTGGGCAACTTTTGTTATTAATGGAATTAATATGTCCACACCCTTTGACACATTAAATTCATTTCTAGGAAGAAACCCAAAAGAAAACAAAAAAGAGAGCTGTAAACCAAAAGATTTACAGACAAAGACTTCCACGGCAGCATTATTTCATAATCGTGACCTAAATGTTTAATAACACTTAATGTAGCCAATAAAAGTCACATTGTGAAAGAATGCTTTCTGACATGTTTATGTGGTAAGAAAAGTGCTCAGGATATGCTGGGGGGAGTTTTTTTTAAAGCATGACCCAACACTCTATCTGAGGCTATAATTCAAGTCTGACTTGAATTCTGTTCATTACACGTCTGCCTGCATAGCAAGTGTGGTGGGAAGAACTGTCCCAAATTACGTTCTTTATGCTCTACAGGATATAGTTTAGATTCTACAGCCAATGGCTATCATTGTTATAGTCAGAAGCAATCTTTTCTTTTTTTTCTTGTTCTTTTTTTTCTCCAAAAATCAGCCAGGCAGGCGGGCTGAGTCCTCTCCTGGACCCACCCTGGTTATGAGGAGGCGTTACTGACGGACATTCCCCACTCACCTTCCTGGTCCTTAGGAAGACCGGTCCCTAAACTCTACTAGCCTGGGCCTGCTCCCCGTCACCTCCCTGCGTCCTCACCCCGCTGCCAGGCCTCTGCTCCTGCGGGGCCCCTCACCAGGAGCGCCCTCAGGTCCACTCAAACCCTGTGCCCCACAAGGGCTACAGCCCGCAGCCCTTCCTCTCTAGGAACCCTGACAACCACATTTTTCACAAGGTTGCACGTTTGCCACCCATCCTACGCTCTCGCTCTCTCTCTCTCTCTCTTCCCAGGTGCTCAAACCAGTATTTGGACAAAGGAACTAGATCAACACAAACAGAAGCAGCTTGCTTCCGGTCTTGTCTCTAAGTCCTTGACCCTGACCTTCTCAGCTTGGCATCCCCGCAGGTCAAGGTCATTCCTGCCTCAGGTTTTGCTCACACTTTGTCGCTGCCCTGGGTATCCTCTCACACTGCAGACCATCACCCTGACCGCTGCCCTCCCCGGGGTCTTCCCTGCCTCCACCAGCCCCCACCAATCCTGGTCTCTAGCACCATCTGTCCATTCCCTTATGCTCGTCACCAGACAACTTAGCCCCTAGTATGTAAACATGACTTGGTAACCACAACCCGCGCTTGTTTTGGGTTCCCCTCGAGCAGGGGGAGGGTAGCAGGCAGGGCCCCACCCGAGGGTCTGACTCGGCAGGTCAGGGTGGGGCCCGAGACCTGGCATTTCTAACAGCGCCCAGGTGACGCTGCCGGCCGTCTGGGGACCACACGCTGAGAACCGCTGACCTAGAGCGGCAGTTGCAAACTGGTGTCCCAAGGGCCACATCTGGTTCACAGAGATTTCACCGAAAAACCTGAATTCCCATCTTTTCTTTAAACGTCAGCATCTGTCCACACTGGGTCTTCTTCCCCAGGTGGCAGTCACCACTGGCTGCTCTCCCACCCCACGTCCTGCCCCAGCTGCCCCAGCTGTGTCCCGGTCCAGAGCCTCCAGCACCTGGCAACTGTGGGCTCGTAGTCGGGACTGAGTCTTGGTGCGCCAGCGCCTCCCAGCCTGGCACCCGGGGCTGCACCAGAACCCTGCCCACAGGGGCTCTGCCCCCCAGACGGCCTTCCTCCAAGTCGGCTGTCCATTTCCAATTTTAAGCTTCTTTCTGCTGCCTCCACCCCGGAAACAGGCCAGCAAACAGGTGCCCAGGCAGGGACAGCACCCCGAGAGCCCCACAGCCGGGCACACCTGGTCCTGGTTGAGAGACCCGCCTTGCCCGCCCCTCCAGAGGTACCAGGCCTGGGCCGGAGGGATGGAGAAGAGGCTGGAGAAAGGGCAGCGTGAGGAGGGGCCCCTCCCCCTTGCCATTGTTCCCGGGGTGGGGGCTGCGCCTCTCCCCCAGGCAGCCAGCCCATTGGCGCGTAAATAGGGCGTGTCCACCACCATGTGCAGGGGGGCATACAGCACCCCAGAAATGTTCTATTTACCCAGAACCTCAGGTGCAAGCTTATTTGGAAACAGAATCTGCAGATGTAATGAAGGCTGACCCTAAATGAAGTGGGGGAGGGGCGCACAGAGGAAAAGGCCATGTGAAGGCAGGGGCTGGGGGACGCTGTCACTAGCCAAGGAACCCCAGGAGCCACCAGAGGGGGGAAGAGGCAGGGAGGGTCCTCCCCGGAGCCCTCAGCGGGAGAGTGGCCTGGCCACACCTTGATTTCAGGCTTCAGACTTCTGGCCTCTGGCCTCTGGCACGGAGACAGAACGAGTTTCTGCTGTTTTAAGCCCAGCCCCTCTGCAGGCCCCGGTCTGCATCCCGCCACCTGCCTCCCCAGCCTGGTCCCCTATGCCATGCCCTCCCATCCTCGCTCCCGTCTCCGTCTCCGGAACTGGTCTCATCACGTCCTGTCCAGGAGTTTGCAACAGCAGCTCCTGCAAGTACCGCCAGGTTCCTCTTCCAAAAGCAGCGGACCTCATCACGGCCCCACCCCCAGGCCGGGCCATGAGCCTCCAGCAGCCCCTGCTCTCACGAACCAGCTCTCCATCCCGCCTCTCGCCGCCCACCGAGCCTCTGCTCACGCGGGCCCCTCTACCCGGCCACCTGCGTGGACACTGCCCACCGCCCAGACATTTCAAGCGGCTTCTCACCCATGCGGCTCCGCCTGCTCCTCACGGCCTGGAAACGTCCAGAACACGCGGCCTCTGTCCCCCCACTGTTCTAAGAGCTCTGACCCTTTGCAAGATCCTTCCACAAGGGCCGGATTGGACCCAACTCCTCGAAGGGTCAAGTCCCGGGGCCGACCCGTGCGGGCGCATGGGAGGCACCAGAAACACGTGCTGAGTTTGACTCACTCACATTGACTCTCAGAGTCTGCAGGGATCCTGGTCGGCCCCCCGCCAGCAGCTCAAGAGGTTTCTAGGCCCTTTCTTTCTGTCCTCATTTCAACTTATTTTTCTTCAACAAACTGCTCTTGCTCTGCCTTTTAATTCTGTTCTTCACGGAGAAACCAGCTGCCTTCTGAGGCACGGGCCGCACGTCTCCCACGTGTCTGGGGGACCAGGCACTGTCACAAGCCCCCACCGCCTGCTGGCCACACCCAGGGCGGCTAGAAACCCTCTCTCTGCCACCTCGGTCCCCGCAGTGCACCTAGCACCGCGAGTCTGGGAAGGTACAGCTGCCACCGACCCCCCCAGACCTGCGCCCCGGCCACCACTGCGGACGCCCACCCATCGCGTGACTCACACCCGCCAGGCGCCTGGGCTGGGTCAGCTGGAGATGGGGTGGAGGGCGGGCCGGGGACCCCGAGGGCACTGCACTAGGCTGGGAAGCATCTCAACTTCTCACCAGCAAGAATGGCCCAGTTGCCATGGTTACGGCAGAGCCTGGTTCTGGGCCAAGACCTCCCTGGGGCAGTCCTCACCCCCCAACCCCCCCCCCCAGACCCCCCAGTACTCACAGTGGAGCCAGGCGAATCCCCGGGGCATGGTGGTGAGCGGGGTGCCCCAGGCTGCACAGACGGAGTCCCCGGTGGCGTGTCTGTCCCCAGAGGCCCGAGGGGGCCTACATGGCATCAGGTCAGCACAGGTGGCCCAAAGCGGAAGAAGGGCTGGTCGCAGGTGCTCCTGGGGCAGCGCCACCCTTATCTGCCTGGCAGTGCGGAGGGCAGCCGGGGGGTGGCGGCTGCCGGTTCCATGGCAGCGGAGACCGGCCCGAGAGAGCCGCCTCAGGGCTTCCCTCCGGAGCAGGCGGAGTGCCCGGCAGGCCCCTGGGAATCCGGGCTGGTTGTGCTTTCTCTGACTGCTCCGTCTGCAGCTGCTCAGTGTGAAATCTGGCTCTGGAAAGAGAAAGGAGGAGAGAAACCAATTATGTAAGAGCAGCGCTGCCACTCAGCCATCAGCCCCAGGCACGAGCCTGCCTGTTGTGGGTGCTGCACCCACTGGCCCGAGGGCCCGGGAAAGGCCGGAGGCGCTCGGCCTGCCGGCCCTGCTGGCCCCGGCGGCTGCCTCCTCCGCCACAAGCTCGCACACAAGAAGTGACTCCAGGACCAGCACCGGCCCAGGCGTGAGCTAGGATGACATCGGCCGGCAGCCTGAACAAAAGCAGGACCAAGAAGGAAGGGCTGCCCGAGTTCCATCAAGGGAGCTTCCGGAAGAAGGTGAGGTTTGAAGGTAACGTATTTGAATGACGGGGGCTGCAGGGAGGCGAAAATGGAAAGAATTCACCCCTCGACTCTCCTTCAGGTTTAGTCCCATTCTCCTAGTACCCCAAATTTGGGTCCACTCTTAATAGACTGCTCACTTAAATTTTAATTTCAGACAAACAACACATATTTTTTAGTATAATTATGTCATGAATACTTTTTATATGTATGTCCCAAAGCCTGCATGGGACATACTTACACTAAAAAAAAAAAAAAAATTCATTGTTTACCACCAATTCCAAATTAAGTTAGCAGTCCCATATTTTTATTTGCTAAATTTAGCAACCCTATGATAATAATGGGATAGCTCTTCCTGAGTGCTCACTGTATACTAGGCCCAGGTTAAGGCCTTTGTATTCATTGAATCCTTACAACAATCTTATGGGGCCAAAAAACATATCATTTTATCAATGAAGAAGTCAGGGCCCAGAGAGGTTAAGACACTTGTCCCAGGTCACACAGCTTGTAAGAAGTGCAACAAGAATTCAAGCCAGGCCTGCTGATGGCCTCTCCCGCAAGGCGACGCCCACATGTGTCAGGAAGCCCTTCTCAGCTGGGCGCTGGGCTTGGCGCTCTCATGCCATCTCTCATCTCATCTCATCTCTCCCTCACTGGACTCTGCGAGGTGCCGGCCGCTGTCCCCGTTTTGCAGATGAGGAAACGGAAGCTCTGAGAGGCTGAGTTGGCCGGCGACAGAGCCAGCTCTGAAATTCAGTCTCTGACTCAGTTCTCTCTGTTCCATGTCCTTGCCCGCTCTCTGTTTCCCCTCTGGTCGGGGGAGGGGGGAAAGTATGATTTGGGGTCTTCTCCATTGTGGCTCGGGGTTTCCCAGCAGGCAGGCAGGGACTCACACAATGAACACAGGCCTCCATCCACCCTCCGTGTGAAGTCACCCCCAGATCTCAACTGCTCCTCTGATCCTGGATATTGCCGTGTCACCATGGACACCCACCTAACTGAAACTTCTGTTGTTTAAATGTTTAAGGTGTATTGAGGCATAATTTACATATAGCAAAATTCACTGTTTTTAGTGTACAGATCTGAGTTTAGACCAGCGGTTCTCAACCTGTGAGTCGCGACCCCTTTGACGGTCGAACGACCCTTTCACAGGGGTCGCCTAAGACCATCCTGCATATCAGATATTTACATGATGATTCATAACAGTAGCAACATTACAGTTAGGAAGTAGCAACGAAAATAATTTTATGGTTGGGTCACAACATGAGGAACTGTATTTAAAGGGCCAGAAGGTTGAGAACCACTGGTTTGGACAAATTCATAGAGTTGTATAACCACTACAATAACCAGGATATAGGATATTTCTATCCGCCCAGAAAATTCCCTCTGGCCACTGTGTGGTCAGCCTCCCTCCCACCCCAGCCTCTGCCGGGCAGTTGCACCTTTCCCGGCTGCCGGGTACCCACAGTCAGGCACCTCTCCCAGATGCCCGCAGTCAGGCGCCTCCCCCCAGGTGCCCGCAGTCAGGCGCCTCCCCCCGGGTGCCCGCAGTCAGGCGCCTCCCCCCATGTGCCCACAGTCAGGCACCTCCCCCCAGGTACCCGCAGTCAGGCGCCTCCCCCCCGGGTGCCTGCAGTCAGGCGCCTCCCCCCAGGTACCCGCAGTCAGGCGCCTCCCCCCCCGGGTGCCCGCAGTCAGGCGCCTCCCCCCCCGGGTGCCCGCAGTCAGGCGCCTCCCCCCCCCCCGGGTGCCCGCAGTCAGGCGCCTCCCCCCCGGGTGCCCGCAGTCAGGCGCCTCCCCCCCGGGTGCCCGCAGTCAGGCGCCTCCCCCCCGGGTGCCCGCAGTCAGGCGCCTCCCCCCCCCCCCAGGTGCCCGCAGTCAGGCGCCTCCCCCCGGGTGCCCGCAGTCAGGCGCCTCCCCCCCGGGTGCCCGCAGTCAGGCGCCTCCCCCCCGGGTGCCCGCAGTCAGGCGCCTCCCTCCCCGGGTGCCCGCAGTCAGGCGCCTCCCCCCCGGGTGCCCGCAGTCAGGCGCCTCCCCCCCGGGTGCCCGCAGTCAGGCGCCTCCCCCCCCCCGGGTGCCCGCAGTCAGGCGCCTCCCCAAAAGTACCCGCAGTCAGGCGCCTCCCCAAAGGTACCCGCAGTCAGGCGCCTCCCCACAGGTGCCCGCAGCCAGGCGCCTCCCCAAAGGTGCCCGCAGCCAGGCGCCTCCCCAAAGGTGCCCGCAGCCAGGCGCCTCCCCACAGGTGCCCGCAGCCAGGCGCCTCCCCACAGGTGCCCGCAGCCAGGCGCCTCCCCACAGGTGCCCGCAGCCAGGCGCCTCCCCACAGGTGCCCGCAGCCAGGCGCCTCCCCCCAGGTGCCCGCAGCCAGGCGCCTCCCCCAGGTGCCCGCAGCCAGGCGCCTCCCCCAGGTGCCCGCAGGCAGGCGCCTCCCCCAGGTGCCCGCAGCCAGGCGCCTCCCCCAGGTGCCCGCAGTCAGGCGCCTCCCCCAGGTGCCCGCAGCCAGGCGCCTCCCCCAGGTGCCCGCAGCCAGGCGCCTCCCCCAGGTGCCCGCAGTCAGGCGCCTCCCCCAGGTGCCCGCAGTCAGGCGCCTCCCCCAGGTGCCCGCAGCCAGGCGCCTCCCCCAGGTGCCCGCAGTCAGGCGCCTCTCCCAGCTGCCGGGTACCTTTTGCATCAGGCCCCTCCCACTGGGCATGTGGGTTCAGCCAGGGAACTGCGTGTACTGGTGGTTTGCTCCTTTTCCTGGCTGAGTACGCCATTGTACGGCCAAATCGCTGTTTATCTGTCCATCCACCAGTGGCAGGGCATCTGGTTTTTCTGAATTTTTGATAATTATGAATGAAACCCCCACAAGCCTCTGCACACAGGTTTGGGTGGGGCTGGGAGTTTCCATCTCTCTCGGGCGGATCCGTAACTTGAATGTGCTCCTCAGTCCTCAGAACATCAGAGCTCTGCATGCTGACTGCGGGGTGCTGACCGTGGGGTGCTGACCACGGGGTGTGACTGTGGGGAGCTGACCGCGGGGGTCCAGGCAATGGTCTCCCGTCCTGTCCTGCTCCACGGCTGGAGCATCCCTCAGCCCAGACCTCACCAACCACATGCACGTCAGGCTCTGTGCCCCGTCCACACCCCACAACACTCCGGGCAGCCTCCTCACTCAGAAACCTCCCGGAAAGGCCCCCGTGCTGAGCCCCACCCGGGACCACAAATCCTGGACCACCAGGCCCTGATGGAGAAGCTGAGAAAGGGCGGAACGGGGTCGATTCGCCTTCCCGCCACGGTACATAGTCCTGGGCTCCATCTGTGGTTACACCCTCCCGTTGAGCCCCCTGAAATGAGGGCGAGGGGTGGAGGGATGTAGGAAAGCCAAGGAGGACCCAAGAGGGAGTTACCTAATAACACAGGAGCCAGAGCCACCCACCCCCAACCCATCCCTGGGGCCTAGAACAGCCGTTGGGAAGCCGTGCGGGGAAAAGCTGTGTAAGAAAGTACAAGTTGGACTATGATGTTGCCCAAGTCATTTGTGAACAGCAAAGTCGCAGTAGCAAGTAAGAAGTGAACATTAACTTAACAGAATCACGGCTCAAGGGAGCTGGGAGGTCAAGGAGCTGGGGAGGCAGCGGTATGTAAGGAGGGAATCGGGTGACGGGGGCGAACTCCCCCCGGTGGGAAGCCAACAGGTGATGCCTCTTAGGAAGACTTGGCAACGTGAGCACGTTGTGTATAAGGAGAAATATATGCATTGCTTTTTGAAAAAGTGAAAGTCCTGAGTCTGGGGAGCAGGAAGTGGGGAGGAGGGAGCAGACAGAAGCCTGCTGTTGTTCATGACAGGATCCTACTGGACTATTTGCTTCTGTAGTTCAGGTGCAGGTATAATTTTGATTTAAAGATATAAAACTAGACTTATGCCCTAGCCAGTTTGGTTCAGTGGATAGAGCATTGGCCTGTGGACTCAAGGGTCCTGGGTTCGATTTTGGTCAAGGGCACATGCCCGGGGTTGTGGGCTCAATCCCCAGTAGGGGGAGTGCAGGAGGCAGCCAATCAATGATTCTCATTATTGATGTTTCTATCTCTCTCTCCCTCTCCTTTCTTTTCTGAAATCAATAAAAATATATTTAAAAAAAATAAAAATATAAAACTAGACTTTTCAAAAAGGCATTACAGGGCAGCAACTACATTGCCATGTTCATTCAGGTTAGGCAGCAAGGGCCTGCTCTCCGGGACCTTCGTTGTTCCCTCCTTTCCCAAGCCACTTGCCCCTCCTAGCGGCTCCACCTCCGAGGGGCAGGAGCCAGGAACCAGACTAGAGTCCAGCAGCTAAACCCAGAGCCAGTCCAGCCTGATGAGGAGATACAGGGTTCTATTTAGGACACACACACACTCTATCAGCTGTGCAATAACCCCCAAAACTATAGTGGCTGAAAGAACCATCATTTCTTATTTTTCACGAATCTACAGATTGGCCGGGACTCACCTACCTGGGTTGGGCTGGGCTGGGCTGGGCTGGGCTAGGCTGATCTAGCCTGGGCTCACTCACGCTGGTAGGCTGGCAGAGTGCTGGCTGGTCTCAGGTGCCTCAGCTGGGATGACTCCCTTCCAGCAGGCTAACCTAAGTGTGTTCTTGTGACAGAGGCAGGATTCTAAGAAAGAGAGCAAATGAGTAAATGGCCTGAAGGCTGAGGCATAGGACAATCACACCATCACTTCTACCACATTCTATCCAAAGCAGATTGGCAGGGGAAGGGAGTGGGGGTACACGGACTCCATTTCTTTTTTTTTTTTTTTACTTCAGAGAAGAAGGGAGAAGGAGAGGGCGATAGAAACATCAGTGATGAAAGAGAATCACTGATCGGCTGCCTCCTGCACACTCCCAGTTGGGGATTGAGTTCACCAACCAGGCATGTGCTCTTGACCGGACTGGAACCTAGGACCCTTCAGTCCGCAGGCCGACGCTCTATTCTTGATGAAAGGAGCTGCAGAGCATCATTGCAAAAGGCACGGATGGGGTGTGCATGTGAAGAATCGGGGCCACTTTTGCAACCAATCAATTACACCCACACAGAACATTCTTCTCCCCAAAGTAGCCAGGCCTGACCGGAGGCCCAGGGGACACAGCACTGGACCACCTGCTCCAGCCTGACCACTTCCCTGCAAGCAGGGCTGGGCCGCAGGGGCCTCTGAGGCATTCCATGCAACCCCCATATCCTAGAGATGAGGAAACAAGGTCTCACGGGGGAGGCAGCTGGCCCCAGGCCACACGCCCAACTTCACCCTCCTCCTGTGAATCAAGCCTCTCTGTCCTCTGAGAACGTGGGGAGGGGCAATGAGCCGCCACCAAGAGTGAGTCACAGATGTTCTAGTCAGGAGGAGGTGGAAGGAAAGTAGGAATGAGTTGAGGACACAGGAAAAGGGAGACAGACAAAAGCAGAAACAGGAATGAATTACTCTGGTGAATTCCATTAGCCCAGGGTCTGTCTTTCTGAGTAAAATTTCACCCACCACCTCTGTTCTATACGCGGAAAGACGACGCTAGACCTGGGGCACCTGAATAGCACAGGACCCACCCTTGGCCACATCGGTGGAGTTGGTCTCATCAGAGAAGTGCTCTGGGTCAGAATGCTCGCGCCCTTGGCCACCCTTCAGTACAAGTCCTCGCTGTAAAGGACTCCCTGTTTCTCCAGCCCGTGACTCTGGGCGTGGCCTTGGGACGTGTTCTCACCTAGGGATGTGCCTGTGCCTTGAGGCTTGTCCTCTCTCTGAGTCTTGTAAACACCTCCAGCCTCCTATAGGAGGTGCTGCCGAGGTCCCCAGCACGTGAGTGAGACCAGTTGGCCCCAGGCACATCAGCCCAGAAGCCCAGCCACCACACAGGATCTTGAGAAAGATTCAATGCTTGCTTTAAGCCACTAAACTCGGGGGTAGTTCGTTACACAGTAAAAGCTAATCTCCACAGCAGCATGGGAACGGCCCGTGTCTGCAAATGGCCTGTCAGGAGCCAGATCGATTCCAACCCAAAGCCTCCTCTGGGGGTGGCTCCGGTGACTCAGCTCCTCAGAAGGAAGCTCCAGCCCAGGTCAGGGGTCTCCGGGGACAAAGGTGCTAGCGCTGCCCAAGGCCCAGCCAGAAGCTCCTCTTGGAAGAGCAACTTTCTGGAATTCAGTGCTAATCGAGATGTTCTTTCTATCCTCGGCCACACTTGAATTATTCTATAAAACCTTTTAGTATACAAATTGTAATGGCAGGCTCATGTAGTGGCCCCCAGATGACCATTACTCAGCTGCAAAAATCATCAGCCCTGGCCAGGTAGCTCAGTTGGTTAGAGCGTCATCCAGATACATCAAGGTTGTGGGTTTGATCCTGGACAGGGCACATACAAGAAGCATAAATAAGTGGAACCACAAAGCTATGTTCCCCTCCCTCTCTCGCTCTCCCTCCCTCCCTCCCTTCCTCTCTTCCTAAAATCAATTTTTAAAAAAATCAATCCTCTGACATTCCTGTTTCACCCATCCCCCCAATTTTTTCCCTAGAGTATTTTTTTAATATATTTTTATTGATTTCAGAGAGGAAGGAGAGGGAGAGAGAGAAACATCAATGATGAGAGAATCATCGATCAGCTGCCTCCTACACACTCCCTACTAGAGATCGAGCCTGCAACCCGGGCATGTGCCCTTCACCAGAATCGAACCTGGGACCCTTCAGTCCACAGGCTGACGCTCTATCCACTGAGCCAAACCGGCGAGGGCTCCCTAGAGTATTTTAAAGCAACTTTCAGACATTCCATTTTACCAGTATGTAAGGATTTTTGTTTTTTTGTTTTGTTTTGTTTAAATATATTTTTATTGGGTCCGCAGGCCGATGCTCTATCCACTGAGCCAAACCAGCTAGGGCAGGATTTTTAAAAAATATATAATCACACTACTATTATTGCACATTCCCAAGTCAATAATTCCTTATGTCATCTAATATAGAACCCATGTTCAATTTTCCCTGATTACTTAAAAAAATGTCCTTTTTTAAAGCTGCTTTTGTTTGAATTGTGGATGAAAAAGGGGCCACATACTAAACCTGACAAGCTCAGGGGAGGCCTGCAGAATGGGCCCTACAAACTCAGAAACCGAGAGTAACCACATGAAATGGTCTAAACATAACAATTTCTAACTAAAAGCAGGTCGTGCGGGTAGTCACACCTGGGCATGCAGTTCCCTTGACGAAGGCCAACCTTGACCTTAAGTGAACCTGTGTTTTGTCTTTTTGCAACTAAGATAACATACTTCTGAAATGTCTGCGTAATCTCCTCCTCCAACCCCCAGACCCCTCATTGTTATCCTGTTCCTCGCGTCCCACCTCTACGTGCTGTAAATGTCAATCATTAACTGCCCGCACCCACCAGTGTAAAAGAAGTGTTGTTTTTCTCTCTTTTGCCTTTTTATCCAACCTCAGAGATTTCCCTGCTTTGCTTTCTCCTGCCCCCTTAACCTACCACCAATGGACTCCATATTAACCCCTCCTCCTTTTGTCTCCTCCTTGTATTCTAATATATAAAATAAGCTGCAGCCCTAGCCAATTTGGCTCAGTGGCTAGTGTTGGCCTGCGGACTGAAGGGTCCTGGGTTCGATTCTGTTCAAGGGCACATGCCTGGGTTGTGGGCTCGATCCCCAGTAGGAGGTGTGCAGAAGGCAGCTGATCAATGATTCTCTCTTATCATTGATGTTTCTATCATTCCTTCTCCCTTTCTCTCTGAAATCAATAAAAATATATTTAAAAAAATAATAATAAAATAAGCTGTAAAACTGCCATTCTCTGGAGCGTTTTCTCAATCCTGGCAATTATCAGCTTGACTCAGATAAACCTAAAAAAACCTCTGCAAGTTTGGACATCCTATCTAATAATAGACAAACATGGTAATTGACCGTACCTTTGCTATGCCTCTCATGGGCTAATCAGTGTGATACGCAAATTAACCGCCAAGAAAGATGGCGGCTAATTTGCATACTGCAGGCAGGGTGGGACAGCGCCATCCCACCTGCGCTGCCACCATCCAAACCTGCTATCTGCAACCCGGGGCAGCGGGCGTCCGTGTGCAACCTGACCCAGGGCGGCCGGGTGGGGTGGCAGTGATCGGCCAGCCCACCCGGCCTCCATCCAGGCATCTCGTGTGTGACCCACCCAGGGCGTCCTGTGTGCGACCCAACCTGGGGCGGTGCCCCAACCCCCGGATCGGCCCTGCCGTGTGTGCGACCTGGGGAGGCGGGGCAGGCACCAAGGGATCGGGCCTGCCATCTGCCACCTGGGGAGCGGGCCTAAGCCAGCAGGTGGTTATCTCCCAAGGGGTCCCAGACTGTGAAAGGGCACAAGTGGGGCTGTACAAATTTTTGTGCACCAGGCCTCTAGTTTCTTATAAGATGACAGAATCAAGAGCCCCACAAGGTGGCTCACCTAGTGCCCTTGATTGATGTCTTTTACATCTTTTTCATTAAAAAAAAAATTAAGATATAGTTCAATGCCATAAAATTCAGCATTTCAAAGCATGCAATATAGTGTGTGTGTGGGGGGGGGGGGGTTGTGTGTGTTTTTTTAGTTTATTCAGAAAGTTGTGCATCAATCACCACAATCTAATTCCAGAATGGTTTCATCACCCCAAAAACAAACTCTGTATTCATTAGCAGTCACTGTCTATGTCCTGTTCCCCAGTCCCTGGAAACCAACCACTAACCTGCTCTATGGGTTTGCCTGTTCTGGACATTTCATACAAATGCAGTCACATGATTTGTGATCCTTTATGACTTACTCTTTCATTTAGCATAATGTTTTCATTCATCTTGTAGTACATTATAAACTGAATGTTTGCTTCTCCCCCACAAATTCACAGGTCAAACCCCTAGCTCCCAATGTGATAGTATTTGGCAATGGGACCTTTGGGAGATAATCAGTGTTGGATGAAGTCATGGGGGTGGGGCCCTCATGATGGGATTAGTGCCTTTAAGAAGGGCTTGCTGTCTCTCCCTGCTCCCACAGAGGTCATGTGGCCACACAGAGAAAGTAGCCTTCTGCAACCCAAGGGGAGAGTCCACACAAAACCGACCGTGTGGCTCACACAGACACAGGGTATCCAACTGAGAGAACAAAACTGCTCTAGAACATGGAGACAGAGGACAGGAGCAAGTGAATGGCATCCATATTCAAGGTCAAACTGAGCAAGTCTGTGTTCTCTGGCTTCTGTATGATTTCCTTGCATTAGTCGTACTGAAAAAAAAAATTCCCTGGACCAGATGCTTCAAAGCTGAAGGCCCAGGACCAGTGAAGAAAGCCTGGAAGATATTTGCATCAAATCTATATCTATGCCCTCCTCAGCCAGGTCCCATCTACTGTCAGAGGGGTCTATTTCTTGGGATCAGAGAGGAGGGTAAAAGCTTCCCCAACTTCCCTGAACTTCTCCTCCTCCCGCTCCAGCGCTTCTCACTGGCTCCGCTGTGCCCAGACACATGGTGCATCAAAGTCCACTTCCAATAAAGGTTCTTGATCTTGTCCTCAGAGGCTTTCATGTCCACTCCCAGAATCTTGTAGTAATTTTCCTCTTTTTATTTTCACTTATTGAGTTGAGAGAGAGAGAGAGAGGAAGAGGAAGAGGGGAAGGGAGAGA